AAACATTAGTGCTTTTTAACCCTAGATATGTATATTTGGTTCATTTATTGCCATTCTTTAGATCCCATTCTTTTTTTTTCTTTCCGTACAAAGGCATCAACAACATATACTCATTTACATAAGAACCAGGCAATCCTGTCAGAAAGAATTCAGGTACAGTCATTAGTCATTAGTGTTAAACCAACTCATCTCTGTTCCAAAACCAGCAAAAGAGTTGAGTTTCTCATCTTATATCTTCTAAGGAAAATATTCATCAGGAGACAGTTTAACAACCAACTACAGTAAAGTTACTTAAAAATGTAGAAAAGTCCAAGAATGGTAGCATTATCTCTGTGTGCAGCCCAAGTTTGCATTAGTAGAAAGAAATTTGTCCCTGAAGTATCTCACAAGGCGGAACTGTACACGGTTCTTTTCCCTTGCTCATCCTGGGACACCTTACAGCCAACCAAAATCATGAATATTTTACTGAACAGAGCGAGAAACAAATGAGGAATGTAAAACCACATGAACAATTCACATTGCCAAACTAAATGTGGAGTTAGCATCCTTGAAGAACTACATCTTTCTAACTCAAGTGAAAACAGGAGTTTAGTCTAAATAAAGGTAAAAGCAGAAAATTCAGAGAAGCAATCAAAGGCAAATACATCATGCCATTCATTGTCTTCATTTTCTGATGTCTCCAGGGTCCACAGAATTAAGCAGTAATAATAGCTAACATGGTTTGAGAACATATTACAGTAGGTACCAGGCAATATTTTAAGAGATTTAAATGCATTATCTCATTTATTTAATCGCAACAGCTCTGAGTGGTAGATGTTAGTACTCTCATGTAACTGGTGAAGAAACTGAGGTAGAGCAGGGCTAAGGAATGAAACTTGAGATTGGTAATTCTCCACATGTGGTTCTCCAATGGGTAGCATCAGTGGCACCTCCTGCTCCTGTGTACTTGTTAGAGTTGCAAATTCTCTTACCTACCTCAAACCTACTGAGATGTGGTCCAGGAACCCTAGGAATGAACATTATAGCAATCTGTGTCTTCAAATGCTCTCCAGCCTGATTCTAATGCTTGCTAAAATCTGCGAACAACGGCTTATATTACCTAATTAATAATGTGGATCCATGTCTGTTTGAGCATTTAAGCCCATTCTCTAAATCATATAAACAATATGTGGACTTGTTTACAAAAGTGAGTGATATTTAGATCACTTCAAGAAACACATATTTTTTAATGTTTCAGTATTAAATATTGATATTTCTTCTATTTGAAGAAGTGTTGAAGAATTGTGCTTTCACCTCCCATACTTTTAGTAGAGCTAGGTGATCTTTGCCAACAAAGACAAGCTACACATTACAAGCCTTTTCCTCTTTAATGTAAGGAGCAGACAGACACTGGGTCACCTCCTTGCTAGGAGCAATTTGCTGGCTACCATGGTGGACACACTACCTATCCTGTGGAAAATACAATATGTCACTGTTGTTGAAATTTAAATCCCCCAAAAGGCCTCTTTTGGGATGCTGCTGGTCCTTAGGAGTTTACTGACCAACAATACCATGAGTTTTTGATTTGAAAGTCTATCTACAATCTTCCTAACCCTCATGAAATTTGACTACCTGCCGTATATCTGTGTTTCCAAATGAGAACTGTCACTTGTTTTTTTCTTTCTACCTTTTAATCACAGATATTTGGTTGGGTTGGCATTTTTATTATTACTATTTTTACTTATTATCATTAATACCTATGCTATACTTAATGTTGAATGTTATTTCGGGACTGAATGAAAACATATTAAACTCTGGTTTCCCTAAAGAAAGAAAAAAGTGCAAAGACAAATACATATGCACAGAGATCTCTTGCCTTTGCTTTCTAGGATGAAATGGTACTACATAAAACTTGAGGGCTTACCCTATTTTATCAGAACAAACAAAAGAGTACTGAGTGTGAATACAATTTATAGTAGCATTTGCATTTCCATTTTATTTACTTTTTGTTTCTTATTCTTAATACTTGCTAGTTGCTGAAGTTGCTGTCCTAAGTACTATTAAGTGGTAAATGAAAATTATTTTCAAACTGCTTGAAAAAGATTATTAAAATCTAGCTGCTTTGAGATCAACAAAGCCTGGGGAATCTTCAGTGATAAATGTCATATCAAAGACTAAAAGACTTCATCTTCTACCTTATTGAAATAATTTATTTTTTCCTGGGCTGAGATAAAAGTTGCCAAGTAGAAATAATTGCTATTTGACACCACTCTACTTACAAAGAAATAATAATTGGGTGATCTAGAGAAATAAATGTTGAATCATTGTCTTATGGTTGAAAATTAAGATCTGTATCCCAATGGCTAAATAATTTTTCAGATGAGTGGGAACATTTTACTGAAGAACAATACATATGGTCAACTCTGTGATAAAAACGCTCATAAATGAATAAAACAATTTGTCCATGCCTCGCAACTAATGGGTCCAAGAATAGTTAATGCTGGGAATCTAAAAATGATCTTCTGTTTGCTAAAGGCAGTTGATGGGTGATGTGTTGAATGCACAGCTGCCTTAGGTATGTTTTAGAAAAGTGCTTATTCTGATTTTTTGAAGAGAGATTAAATGGCCTTGCCAAGGAGTTTATATTGCTTAGGGTATGAAAAAGATAGGCTCGTTAGCATACCTCAAAACAGGCAAGGATTCAAATAGTATTTACTCAAAAAATGAATCAATCTGTGAATTAAGACCTCATCAGCATTGGATATGTCCTGCTTTATTTGAGATTCTAGATCATTAGTTTAGAAAATAATAGGACATTTTTAAAACAATTATGTTCTATGTAAATTATAGGTATATGAGAAAAATGAAATAATATTTAGTGCTTAAGCTACCTTTCCATGTATGAGAACATAATACCAGATTGCACTGCTCAATTCACATGCAAGGGGATAAACTTCACTCTCCTCTTTCCTTTTAGCATATTGGTTAGGATGATGGCATTCAACCTTTAAAAAAATTATTACAGCACACTTAAGCAAGGCAAAGACCTCACAATCTTCCTACCCCACTCATTCTCACTTTCTAGTGGATTTCCTGCTCTCTGTGTGTCACATAGGCAAAATAGCAATTTTATAATGTGTATGTTAGCCTGAACTCTTGGTAATGTATTAGAGCCATCTATAAACTATCTAATAACATGTTTATTTTAGTTTATTTTAGTTTAGTTATTAAAATGAATACCAACATTTTAATAACTCCTAGTAATCGACTAAGTAAGTTACTAGTGAATTGGTCCTTATGCTTATATAAAAATGAAACTCAGTGAAATAATTATTTTCGTATTTTAAGAACTGAGAAAAGGGCTTGTGATAGTTAATCAGGGTCTCACCTGGAGGAATTTATGATCCTCCCAGTGGACTGAGAATTAATCTTTGGAAAAGACCGGTTTGTGGCATGGGCTTTGGACCTGTACTCATGTTATGACTAGTCCACTTAAAAGATGTATCCTTAGTCAGCAGAACCAAACTCTCTGTGTCCAGCTTTCCCCATTTATCAAACTGGTGCCATGATTCCTTACTCATGCTTGGCAGATAGAAAGCGGTCAGCAGATGGTGGTCACTACAGATGATGAAAACTGCCCACCTTATAGCTGAGTTGACTGCCACTGCATCAAAAAGAGCTGCAAAGCTTCAGACATGCTGAGTGCCTGGGATTTCCTCATCACTGGAGGTTGGGCAACCTCTCCAAGAGCCGCTACTAGGCATATGCATGTTTGGGGGTTGAGTACCTGAAACTCTTCTGACCTGGCAGATCATGTATCAGGTAGAACTGTCCAAATAGACCATGCATTCTTTCCTCTAGAAGCTAGTTCTTATTCCCTACAATTCCAAGACAGAGGAAATTAGACCTAATGATTAATTCAGCAATAAATTCTTATCAAATGCATACTAAGTGCCTGAGCTTATCCTCATTTACACTAGCTAGCTATCCAGCTAACAAGTTGCTTGTTACTTTGGGAGAACATTATAAGCATTATCATTCATATACGAATCAAACCAGCAATAATAGTTACCATAAATAATAATACTTTATATTTAAATGGCACTGTACTTTTTTAACTTAAAAATTTTCACCATTTATAAATGAAACCAATTTATACAGTGAAGAGTTTCTCTACAGAGCAGAAGGAAAGACATTAAATAGCCAGACATAAGGAAAGGAATTGCCAACTAAGTGCAGGATTTCTTTTGGGGCAGAAAGGTGCTATATAACTCAGGAATTGTTCATTTTTTTCCCCTCTGTGGATATGGCTCAGTTCAGACAAAATAGCTTATGGACATAATAGTTTGTTAGTTAGGTCAGCGGTCAACTATAGATCGTCACTCGTTAATATGTGTATCCTGTTATCATTAGGACTTTGGAACCGAACACTGCATTAAACATTTCACAAATATAAATCCAGAAGTCCTTTTCTCACTACCAGAATGTCCACATCTGCTGTTTTCATTTAGTACCATACACAGTGCCAAAAGGTATCATGCATGCATCTTTAACATTTATTCTTTAAAACAACAATATAGGATTCATTCGTTTAGTCATTGCTTGGAAAATTATTAAGTACTTATTATGCTTCAGATCCAGAAATTCATTAAACAGTTTACATAACAAATTTTACATTTTATGATTTTTATCTGAGGAAAAAAGCATAAAGTCTCAGCAAAAAGGCCACCATGAAAGAATTTTATTCTGCCTGGGCAAATAGTGCATTAGGTTGCTCTCCAAGGTTTGTGAAATTTCCTTTAAGCATGATGAGAGGGCAGTGGTGTTGATGGAGGACCTGGATGGAAGTTAGACTCACCATGATGACATAGTGGGGACCCTGGCTCAGCATGATGGAGGGCAGGAAGAGTCGGTGTGAATTGGCCAGCACATAGTTCTGCTGACCGGCCTACTTTTGCTTTTTTTTTTTTTTTTTTTAATTAAATAAAGAAAAGAGATTTAATTGTCTCATGGTTTGGCAGGTTTTAAGGAAGAATAGTGCTGGCATGTGCTTCTGGTGAGGACTCAGGAAGATGACAATCATGTTGGAAGGCAATTGGGATCCACAATGTCACATGGAGAGCACAGCAGCAAGAAAGAGAGGGAGGAAATGCCACACTTTTTAAAATAACCAGATCTCAGGTGAACTAACTTTGTTTCCTTGTCACTGTAGCCAGTGTCAAAATTAAGAAGTTGCTTTGCTTGTTCAACCCATCTCTTCCAGTGGGTGCATGAGCCTCATTTAGGCTGAGAGAAAGAAAAACTCATTCACCCCCTAAAATGCAACCAGTGATTAGGAATTTGGAGGGAAAGTGCCTGCATGACTGCTACTACTCCTTATTTCTTTTGCTCTTAATCAAAAGGTCTCTATAGACAGGTAGGCAAATAGGATTTCTAGCAATGTCCCATGGTAGGAAGTCCTTCTATACTGAAAATTTTAGAAATCTCACAGGAAGCTTTATAGTAAGAAATCATAGAGAATTGAGTAATAATCTTTAAGTTCCAAATTTAATGGGGTTTCCTTTAGGGAAAACAAACTTTTATTCACACATGTTAGAAGTCATTTATGCATAAAATATCTCTGATATGATATATAAGACACTGGTAAAGCTGATTGCCTTGGGGAGATGGTTAGGCATGTGAAGGGAACATATAATTGAAAACATTCCCCGCCACTAAAATATTTTTAATATACATATATATATATAATTTATATTATATATAATATATATATAATTTATATTATATATAATATATATATTTCAAATATTCTTTAGGCAAAATTAAATTAAATTAAAATTTAAAATAAAAAAATTTCAAAAGATTACTTTTAGTGGATATGTAATATTTCTTCATGTAATGTACCTTAATTTATTCAAATTTTTTCATAAGTGAATGTTTAAGTTGTTTCTAAGCTTCTTTTCCCTACTATAAATTGCACATGTCTGTTTACTTCTCTTATTCCCAGAAGAGGAATAGCTAAGAAAAATAGTATAATTATTTCAAAAGTTCTTTGAAACTGAACATTGCATGACCATGCCTATCTCATGCCTCTTACTGACACTGAGTACTACTAGTTTTAAAAAAATAGTAATTGTTATTTAATAGGTGAACAATGGCCTCTTGAAATCTCCATGTTATAATACAATAACATATTTTACCCAAGATTGCCTTCTACCTGCCACTTAATGTGAATTTTTGGCTCTTATATGTTTTGTATCAAGCATTAGTCTAACAAAGTTATAATTTTAAAGGGAAATCTGCTCAACCCTAGATAGAAGTAGTCTGTAGATTTCTCATAATTTTGGTAGACCATGCATTATCTTAGATATTCACTGGATAAAGAATAGAGTTAATTATCAATGTTGAAGACGTACTGATAAAATAGGACTTATACTTCAATAAAATATTTCAATATATTAGTGTTGCTAACTCTAAAGCCTTTGAAACATTTTAATATCTTGGTATCGAGTCTGTCTCAGTAAGAAAACTATACCAAATCTAGCACAGACCCTTAACTCAGTTCAGTAGTTTAAATTGGGACCAGCTGTAGTTCAGAGGATGATCTGAAAGACAGTTGTGGGCGATAGACCATGCAGCCCGTCAGTGATCCCAGAAGCACCAATTGCTACAAAAGGACTTCATGAACCTTTCTACATCTTCGTTACCTTTTGGCAAGGTGGCCAAAGCACTCTGATAAACAGAGAGGTTTAATTCACTTTGAATATGACCTTCACCTATAAATAAATGTTTCCATAATTTGATTAAAGACACCATCAAGTCTGAAAATATTTTTGGTCTGTCTAGTGTCCAAGATTTTTTTTTTTTTTTTTTTTGAGACAGAGTCTCTCTCTGTTGCCAAGGCTAGAGTACAGTGGTGCGATCTTAGCTCACTGCAACCTCTGCCTCCTCATTTCAAGCAATTTTCTGCCTCAGCTTCCCGAGTAGCTGGGATTGCAGGAGGCTGCCACCACGCCTGGCTAATTTTTGCATTTTTAGTGGAGATTGGGTTTCACCATCTTGGCCCTGGAGGTCTTGAATTCCTGACCTCATGATCCACCCGCCTTGGCCTCCCAAAGTGCTGGGATTACAGGCGTGAGCTGCAGCGCCCGGCTGTGTTCAAGATTTTTTGATCATTTATTCTTTTAAGATATTGCCTGCTCCCAGGACTTACCTTCAAGAATAAAACCACCTCTAGGAGAAATACTGCAATCCTGAATGTGAATTAATTTTTTATGAGTCTGGAGCTTATTGCTAAGCTCTAAGTGAAGAAGTCACAGGATGGTTAAGTTTTAATGCAGCAGGGGAGAGGGACATGTCCTGAGCTGCCTAAGTGTCATTATTGGAAACTAGTCTTCATAAGACAGTAGCAAAGCGTTGGCTATCTGAGAGGCAGATGTAAGTCTAGGCAGGAGATGGCAGCATAAAAAGGGAAGGTAGAAATTCACTAGCAAAAAATCTCAACTTCATAATTTGTCTAGTGCTAGTTCTCAAGTTTCTTAACCGGTTTTTAGCAGCTCCACAGCTAGTAGTTTTTTAAATAACTGGAAGTTCTAGGATGCTTAAAGTTCGTCCCATGGTCTGGCTCAATCATAATTCTGGGGTAGCCCTTACCACCCCAGGAGAAGGCAAGGTACAGTGCAGGTAAAAGCCAGAGCATGGAGACAGAGTTCTGGGCCTCGTACGACTCAGTCTTACAACATTGGGCACGTCATTGAACCTTACTCCTCAATGTAGCTAATTATGTATAGCTACATGGTTACAATGTGGTTGGCAGTATAAATTGAAATACTGTATTTTGAAGGTTTTGTAAACATTATAGCATTTACAAAGCCATTTAAAAGACTGCTAAATACAACACAACTCTAGGATGAGTTATTGTTAGTATTACTACAATTGGTAAGGACTCTGTGGGATTGAGTGATCTTCAGAGACAGCAGAGGAAGGAAGATATTACATAGCACTCATATGTTAGATAATCTATGGGCTTGTTTTAATTATTTTTTTCTTTCTTTCTTTTTTTTTTTTTTTTTTGTGATGGAGTCTCGCACTGTTGCCAGGCTGGAGTGCAGTGGTGCAATCTCAGCTTACTGCAACCTCTGCCTCCTGGGGTCCAGGTGATTCTCCTGCCTCAGCCTCCCAAGTAGCTGGGACTACAGGCATGCGCCACCACACCCAGGTGATTTTTGTACTTTAGTAGAGATGTGGTTTCACCATATTGGCCAGATAGTCTCTATCTCTTGACTTCGTGATCTGCCTGCCTCGGCGTCCCAAAGTTTTGGGATTACAAGTGTGAGCCACCACATCTGGCCTCTTGCTTTAATTTTTCTTTTCTTTCTTTCTTTTTCTTTTTTTTTTTTTAAATGGTTCCTATCTTTTCATCAACTATTTTATTACTAGTAGTATCTTTCAGTGGTATGAGCTGAATAAAGACATGGGTGCTCAAAGATATTCACAGCATATTATCCAAACACTGAAAAACTGAAGGTGAGGAAGAGTGGGCAGTATTCTAACTAAAAGGAAACGACTAATTAAGATGTGATGTAGAGGCCGGGCGCGGTGGCTGATGCCTGTAATCTTAATACTTTGGGAGGCGAGGCCGGGTGGATCACCTTAGGTCAGGAGTCTGAGGCCAGCCTGCCCAACATAATGAAACCTGGTCTCTACTAAAAATACGTAACGTTAGCTGGGCGTGGTGGCGGGCATCTGTAATTCCAGCTCCTCGGGAGGCTGAGGCGGGAGAATCGCTTGAACCCGGGATGCGGAGTTCACGGTAAACTGAGATTGGCGCCATGGCACTCCAGCCTATTAAAACCTCAAAATCAGTCTTTCCCCAGGTCAATCTTTGGACAACTCAGAAGCCAGTCCCTGTATGAACCCCTACTTTTCCACTAGGGGAGACGTTGATCTCCTAAGTGGAAAACCCTGGCAGCTGCCTCCAGTGGCCTGCGGCAAATCATTACAAATCAACCTTTCAGGTCTGGCTTAAACTTCCTTTAATTTCTTTAAATGTGTCTATATTACTCATCCTGATTGAAGTAGATTCCATATTTTTGACTTTGGAGGCCATTGAATAATAGTTAGCATTTCAATTCTTGGCATTTTTGTTTGGTGGCAAGACTGGAGTTGGGAGCCCAATGTCTTGCTATATACAAGAAAAACAAGCCCATTTTTGCTTAACTACGTAGGTATGTGTTTAAGAAGTACAGTCCAAAGGGTGAAGTATGGGAGAATGGGGACATGTTAGCCAAAGTGTACAAAGCCCTGGTGCTATGGTTTGAGTTTGTCCCCACCAAAACTCACGCTGAAATTTTATCTCCATGTGGCAGTGTCACGAGGCACGGTCTAGCGGGAGGTGCTTGGGTCACTCAGCTGGGTCCCTCATGCATATCTTGGTGCTGTTCTCATGGTGGTGAGAGAGATTCAATAAGTTCTTGAGGGAATGGATTATTCATGAGAGAGAGGATTGCTGTAAAGTGAGGTTTCTCTTCTGGTTTTCTCTCTTTGCATGCGTCTGCTCCTCCTTTGACCTTCTCTGCTGTGCTGATACATCATTAAAGCCCTCACCAGAAGCCAGGGCCATACCTTTGAATTTCCTAGGCTACAGAGACATGAGATAAATAAACTTCTTTTCTTTATAAGTTACTCAGCCTCAGGTATTCTGTTGTAGTGACACTAAACACGGCACTCAATTAGATAGGGGGAATGAGTCTGATTATAACTGTATCAATTGCACAGCATGCTGAATATGGCTAATAAATGAGTACTATATACTTCAATATTGCTAAGAGAAAATTTCAGATGTTCTCAACACAAAACTGTGAATTAGTATAATATATTATATATTATATAGACTGTACTTAGTCAATATATAATTTAAAAAACAAACTTAAAAAAAGTACAGCCCAGTTAGAAAGTGTGTGGATCCGACGTGCCGTCCTCTGTGGCTGAAGGTGATACAGTTACGATCGCTCTTTTCCTCTGAACTACAGATGGAGAGTGGGTTGTCCTGATCTTCAGAGGGGAATAAATGGCAGATTTTGCCCAGTGTTTGGAGGAAAAACCAGAACCTAAAAAAGAGGATCTCCTAGCAGTTTCTCTAGGAATCACAGACTTTTGGAGATGGAAGTGGCCTTAGAGGTCACTAATCTACCACTCTTCTCCAATACCCAGGGCCCCAATCAACTGATGGGCAATCGACAGGCCAAGAGAGTGAGGTTGAGTTGCAGGTAAGTACAGTCTAATACAAATATAATGCAAAATGCACATGGAATTCAAATTTTTTTCTGGTAGCCACATTAAAAATGTAGCACGAGACAGCCGAAAATAATTTCAATAACACATTTTATTTAACCTATATATATCAAATATTATTTCAGCACATAACCAATATAAAATTATTGAGATATTTTACCCTCTTTTTTCATACTATATTTCCAAAATGTGTTTTATATTTGGACCACATCTCAATTTGTTTTCATCTGAATTTTCTCAATTTCTTTTAACATTAAAATTTCAGAGATTGAAGTGAAACATAGTTCTGCCAGATGATATAGTTATGCTTAATAGAAATGATTTTAAATCACTTTGATATTTAGATGTAATAATGTTACAAATTTAGCTTATTCTGTGCATGTTTCAAGGGCTCACTGGCCACACGTGTCCCTGTGGCTGCTGTATTGGTCAGTGCGTCTCTATATAATGCGCGTTTTCAGTTAGAGAA